CGTGAGACCGTCACCAGACCGGTAAGAGAGGTTGCTATTGGATTTCTGGGGCCGTCATACAGACATTTCATCCGACTGGACCTGTCACCCGATTTTCCGGTCCCACCGATTATACCAACGTGGTACACCATTCGTACAGCAAGCGTAGAGGGCTGGGATGCGTTATATCATGACCGGGTGCAGCAGTGGAACAATCTAGTTGCCTTTTCTATGTGACCTAATATTGCTATTGCTATGTTTTTCCCATTTATTTAATTTTCGGATTCTAATTTTCGTATTTAGTTTTCCCATTTAAATGTGAACCTGTATTTAGTTTTCGTATGCCCACTAATTACAACTTAAAATAAAAGTTATAAAAACTAAAAATATAATGTCAAATTCTAAGAACTTAAAATAATAATTATAAGAACAGATAATGTTAACTTTTACAAACAACTAGGAAAATGTTTTATAAATGCACTGCCGACATATCAATAATCTCTCTGTGACGCCCACTGCCACTGCTCAAGGGCCCGTTCCAGTTCATCAATAACAGCTCTGCCTGTTGCAGTTCATCAATAACAGCTCTGCCTGTTGCAGTCATCAATAACAAAGTGAAAAATATAAAATTATAAAAACTTAAAAAAAGAAGAACATCAAAATTTTAAAAAAAATTTATAACAAAAAAAAGGGAACATAAAATTTTTTGTAAGTAAAAAAACTAATTCAAAAAAAAAAAAACAAGAACAATAAACAAGAACATAAAATTAAAAATTAAAAAAAAAAAAAAGAGGAACATAAAATTTTTTTAAAAAAAACCAACAAAATTTAAAACAAAATAAAAAAAAAATCAGAAACATAAAATTTAAAATTAAAAAAAAGAAAAACAAATTTAAAAAAAAATCAAAAAAAAATAATTATTTTCGAAAATTAAATTTCAAATTTAAAACCAAAAAAAAATTAAAAAAAAAAATAAAAAGGCGGCGGCGCCTAGGCCAGACGCCGTGACGGTGGCGGCGGCGTCTAGCCCAGACGCCACTACCACGGCGGCGGCGCCTAGGCCAGACGCCGGTGCCGTGGTTCTGGCGCCTGGGCCAGACGCCACCGCCACCGTCACGGCGTCTGGTCTAGGCGTCGCCGTTGTGGTAGTGGCGTCTGGGCTAGACGCCGCCGCCGTGGTGGTGGCGTCTGGCCTAGGCGCCACCACCGCCTCCGACCTTTTTTTTTTAATTTTTAAACACAAAATTAATAAAAAATACCTTCTCGCCGGAAAACCGCTGTCCACCCGCCGCCTGTGCCGCCACTTCCTTGCCGGGCCGCCTCGACATCGCTCGGAAAGTTTTTTAGAGAGAGAAAGTGGAAGTAGAGAATGAGAGAAGAAATTGTGTTTTTTACTTTGAGGGCAAAAGTGACAATTCACTCTAATTTTGTGGGCTTTATGTGGAGATTCGCGGGCGATGTTTAGCAATTGAGATATTAATAGCATCTCCTCATTTAATTTGACTGCCAATAATATAATATTATATACATTATTATTTTCGTTTGATTAATGTCATACAGTCATACTTCTTCCAAAACTTTTTAGATGACCCATTTAATATAGGTTATATTGTCTTTTAAAACCACCTGTCAAAAACAAAAAATTTGCCTTTACCACCTCCATACAAAAAAAAGTTTTATTTTACCATCACATTAAAATTTAAAGTTGGCTTTTACTACCAATCACCACCAATTAACGAATTAAATCCATAAATCTGTTAGTGGGGCCTACTATGTCCACATATCACCATATTATTGAGGAAATTTGTTAAAAAATTTAAAATAGAATAATCTCTCCAATAATATGGTGACACGTGGACATGATAGGCCTCACTAGATTTATAGACGGAATCCGTTAGCTGGCGTTGATTGGTGGTAAAAGCTAATTTATTTATTTTTTATTTTTTTTATGTGGTGGTAAAATACAACTTTTCTTTATGGAGATCGTAAAAGCAATTTTTTTGTTTTTTGCAGGTGGTAAAAATCAAAATTTCCTTTAATATACGCACATACTCTAATTAAAGAGAGGCCATGGGGGAGAATGTTAGAGTAAGTGGGGTAGACAATGTGTTATCAATTTAATCAGATTTGTAGAGGGGTCGATCAACAACAAAAAATTATTTGAAAAAAGAATACGCTTCAATTAAAAAAAATTACAAAATATAATACATGTCAACCAAAATAACGGATGTAGTATATACTTATTTCCATGTTAACTGAATTAAATTTATGAAAACAATATATTTGAAACTACGTAAACATTACTAATGTAATAATAGTAACAAAAACTTTTATATACATCCGGTTTACACTAATATTAGTGTACATCGAGCAGTATAGGGGTAACTTTAAGCCAATTTAGGGTAACTTTTTGCCTTTTTTTGGATAACTTTGAACATAACATGTTTTTTTTATAAACCGAACAAGAAAAGTTTTATAAGGCTGATAAAATTACTTTCAATCACTAATAATTGAATTTTAGTCATTTAAAATGTGTTTCTTTACCAATAAAACGTAGATTAGTTTTATTTGTATTGGGTTACTTTTATAGTTTTATACATATTAGGGTAACTTTTATTCATTTTAGGGGTAACTTTTGATCACTTTAAGAGAGATTTAAAATGGATGTACAATAATTATTGTACACCCAATTTTTTTAAAAGTTTGTGTAATAGTAAAAAAAAATGATAACATTACCCCAATTTTTTTTATTTTTATTTTTTATTAATTTATTTTTAACACCTTAACATTACCCCAATTGATAATGGTTGTTCTTATAAATAAAAATTAATACTATAAATTTAATATATAAATTGATGTGAAAATAATTTATCATTTAAGAATGACATTCTAATATCAATTGTTTAAATCATGATATTATAAATAATAATACACGACAAAAAAGTTGTACGAACATGTCTTCTAATACAAGTATAACACGTAGGTGATGTGGTGGCCTCGACTTGTCTTAAGCTGGAGGGAAGTTTTGAGGTTGATGTAGTTGAAGCTCTTGCCATGAGACATGCTCTTAACATAGCGAGTCTGGGTTTCGACATGTGTGTTTGGAGACCGATTGTCTGAAGTTGCATAATCACCTAGTGAAAAGAAGCGTCCCTAGTACTGCCTTTGGGATGCTAGTGAAGGACATTCTTCAACTCACTCTCTCTTGTCATTCATTTGCTTTTTCTTTTGTGAGGAGTGGTAATTATGTTGCTCATAATCTTGCAAAGATGTGTATTTCTTTTAATGAGCTTAGAGTTTGGATGGAGGAGTACCCTTGTGATGTCACAGAATTTGTTTTGGCTGATCAGAGCCACATTTGAGGTTAATAAAGTTCTTGCTTCCCGTCAAAAAAAATAATAATAATAATAATAATAATAATACAAGTATAACACATACTAAAAATAAAATAAATAATAAAAAAAAAAAAAAACAGCCAATATGTATATGCATTTTCCCATGGAAAAGAATTTAGTGTTTCCTCTATGTGCAGCTTCATTTTTTTTTGTTTTTTATTTTTTTTTGAAGCCCACCTAAATTATTACTTCTCTATCTTAATTAGTTAATTTGTTCTGATTGGTTTGAATGAATGACGAGTTGACAACTTCTCTGCTTCAATCATTGTGTATGCATCTACCAGAATTGTTGAAACAACTAACTTTCTAGGTTGTTTTTTTTGTTTTTGTTTTTTTTTTTAAAAAAAAAAGAATCAAATCTAATATATATATATATATATATATATATATATATATATATATATATATATATATATATATATATATATATATATATATATATATATATAAAGTAGGCATTTTTGGAGAGCATTGGGAGCGTCACATAAGAAAATGTATATTTTCGACCAATTAAAAATTAGATATCTATTTTATTTTAGAATTAAAAAAATCACTCGCCACTTAAACAAAAGTGACGAATGAAATTTTAAATTTTTGCCACATAAGTAAAAACGACGAATAGTAATTTATTAAGATTTTAATTATTTAATAACATTAAATTTTATCATTTTTATTTGTTACAAAACTAACAATTATCTTTAGATATTAGGATTTATATTATTTTAAAAACTAAAAATTATATTTTGATATTTTGATGATATGATATTTTCATACAAAAGTTTAAAACTTATAATGCAAGAAAAAAAATTAAGAGATCACCAAAAAAAATATTTATATACAAAATGTATATAAAAATTCGTGCATCGAACGCCACATAAGCAAAAGTAATATTTCGACCAATGAAAAAATAGATTTATATATTAATTTTGAATTTAAATTTTTATCGCCTTTTAAGAAAAAATTAACAAATGAAATTTGAGAATTGAAAAAAAAAAATAGTAATTTAAGATTTAAATTATGAAAAAAAAAACAAAAATTATCTCTTTTATTATCTTTTACATTAGGATTTATATTATTTTAACAAATAATTAGAAATTAAAAAATATATTTTGATTTAATGATTTTATCTAACTATCCGATGAACGAGATAATATTTATTTCAATTTATAAATTCAAGTTCTATATACTTAAAATTTGAATAGGAATAATTAAAACATAACAAAATATTTTACCTTAAATTAATGTTAAATTAATATAATAGAAAATAAAAACAAAAAATATTAAGAAATTACAAAAAAAAATATACAAAATGAAATATTTAAAAACCGTGCATCGCACGGGCTTACATCTAGTCTTAATAAAAAGTCACCCGTCATCTAGGTTGAAATTGTGGTTGACTGAAATTGTTTGGCATCTATATAAATCAATTCCCCTTTATATTTGAAGCATTTATAGAATAATAAACAAAAAGTATGTAATCCCCTACAATTTTGTAAAATTTATCATTATATTTTACTGCAAATATACGAATATTTTTTATAAATATGTATTTGTACAATTTTTTTTTTTTACAAGAATATGTATTTGTACATACTACTCTAATAATTGTATAATTTAATCAAAGACTAAGTATATGAGAGTTACTCTAATATAATAATTATTTTATTTTACCATCGTTATTTAGACTTTACTGCTCCTACATTATCCTAAACCCACAAATTTGACCCAAGTAGGAATCCTAATCCTTCCAAGCTTATAAAAGCCCATTGTAAACATTAAAAACCCTTAAATTCATCCCTTAAACTCACAACAAACTCACAAACATACTTTTTCACGCAAAAAAGAAAGAAAAAATCCTCTGTGGCAACCACCGCCGCCTACTACCACCGTCGGTCAAACATAAGTCGGTTCGTTTTCACCCTCCTATCTTCTTTTCTTTATTTTCAATAGACAAACTTTTAATTAGTTTCAATTATTACGGTTTGATTATATTTATGGATGGTAAAAGGTTGCAAATTTATGTGTTTGATGTTTAAAAAATGAAATAAATTTTCAAATTTATTTGATTAATCATTTAAGGTTTAAAATTTTGATTTTTCATGATTTAGGGCTTAAAACGAGATTAGTTGATTTAACTAGTTACTTTGTATTGATATAGTGTTAAAAATTTAGTTTTGATCGATGATTAAAAATAAAATTTTCAGATTATAGCATTACGGATTTTTAGGCTGAAACTATTCTAAAAGATATTTTTTAGAGTTCTATCTACACTACTGGGCTAATTTAATTAAACTGTATTAATGAGTTATTTAAGTTTTAAGTATGAATTTTTTAATCCAATTTTCAGATTTTTCATAATCTGAATTTTATCATTTTAGTATAAAAAATAAGAGGTTTTTATGTTCTTACATATTTTATTATGCTACTATTTTGATACTACAAGTATAGGTTGTTGAATTTACAATAGATATTAACAAACTAATTTTGCAGATTTTGGTAGCTTAAATATACTGTAATTTCATTATTTTAATATTTAATAATGGAAACTTAAAGAACAGCGGTATATAGGCTTAAGTATTTTTGTAAATTTGATTGTTTGGGTGTTGATTGAGATTTTGTTGTTTGGTTTTGGATATCACTTCATAAATGTGATTTTTAGTTGGTAAAGTGGGTTACCGATTTGTTTACTCAAGGTACGTATAAGACTACGAAAACCTGACTTTAGGAGCACGCATGATTCAGGACTTGGAAAACTTAGAATCCTGTGAGGGAACTTGTGGTTGCTTGAAATTGTTTACTCAGTCAGTGTTGAAGTGATTGATTTGTCAATGTTATAGGGTTACTAGTTAGTATTTTAGGGATTACTTAATTGGTCAGTAGTATAGAAGTTACTTAATAAGTGTATATAGGGGTTACTTTGTTCTTTTATAAGTGGCAACACGGTGAGGTTAGTCACATACAAGACGGGTTGTGTAAAATTAAATTAGCAAAATAGGATTATCAAGTTTTGTTGTTAAGAGTTAACAGTGTCATCCATTGTTTTGATACTAGCCAAATTTGGCCAATTGCGGATTTTGAGGTTTTTTTTTTTTTTTTAGGGCTAACTTTTTAGCACCTTTGATTAGTCATAATAATGTTGCATTAAAAAATTGAGGCAGTAACAATTAATAGTACAGACTTATAAAAGTCATGGTTATAATGATATACTACATTCACGACAATAATACTAAGGTGAAGAATTATATCAAATAAAATATCATTATGTTGGATCTTGTTTGATTCGTTAGCTTATAATACAACTAGTTTATTCCGAATTCAACTATATTGTACTAATATTCAAATAAAAATATTTATGATCCCGTCACAAAATTATTTGTGATAATGTATTGGCATATTTGTGGTCAAGATAATGTGCTAACAAACTTATCTAGCCAAAGTGAGAAGATCATTAAAAACAAAAGATATATTATATTTTTATAGCCAACAATTTTATTTTAACAAAAAGGATAACAAAAATACTTTAGTATATAAATACATCTCTGATTTGCCATTCATAAAAAAAATCCCCAACCATAACCATTTTGTATTTGTGTTTCTGATTTGCCAACATAGGTTCGATGCAGCAAGAAGAAGTCAAACGCCTTGAGGTTGTCGAAAGAGATAAAGGACGATATACAAGGTATGAAGAAGATATACTAGAGACCTTAGGCAAAGGCAAAATAAAAACAGTATACAAGAGTTTTGACAAGGAAGATGAGTTCTTAGGCAAAGGCGAAAGAAAAACAGTATACAAGAGTTTTGATGAGATTGAAGAGTTATTCGGCAAAGGCAAAGCAAAAACAGTATACAAGAATTTTGATGACATTGAAGAGTTCTTTGGCGAAGGCGAAATAGAAACAGTGTACAGGAGTTTTGATGAGATTGAAGAGTTCTTAGGCAAAGGCAAAGCAAAAACAGTATACAAGAGTTTTGATGACATTGAAGAGTTCGAAAGAGGAGAAATAAAAACAGTATACAAGAGTTTTGATGAGATTGAAGAGTTCTTAGGCAAAGGCGAAGCAAAAACAGTATACAAGAGTTTTGATGATATTGAAGAGTTCGAAAGAGGCGAAATAAAAACAGTTGATGAGATTGGAGAGTTCGGCAGAGGCGAAGAAAAAACAGTGTACAAGAATTTTAATGAGATTGGAGAGTTCGGCAAAGACTAAGAAAAAACCGTATACAACAGTTTTGATGAGATTGAATGAATATAAATTGGTAGAGTAAGGCTAAGATGGTGTCCAAAGATGAAAAAGTCAAGATACATGTTTAAAATGTTATGATTTATTAGTTTAATTATTTTGTTCTTGTCAAACCATAAATCCTAATAACTTTGTTCTTGTTTAATAGATTTTCATGGTTTTATTTAGAATAAGGACATGTTCACTTTAGTTTAATTTCAGTTAAGTTTAGTTCAATTCCAATCATATCAGTTTAGCTTCTAATTTTGTTCTCTTATAAAATGCGGAGTATTCATTTTAGATCTATTCAGTTCAGTTCAGTTCAGCTCCAATCAATTCAGTTTACCTTAGTTTAACAGGTCCTAAATGTTTTTAACGCTATGATTAAATTGAATATTGAATGATTACTGATTAAAATTCAAAGTACATTTTCAAAATCTGACAATTTACCTCTCATCCATATGTTGATGTATCTTAAGGAGAAATTAGTGCGTATATATATAGTGTAGCTTAAGTCTAACCTTTTTTTTTTTTTTTTTTTTTTTTTTTTTTGAAAGAGCTGAAGTCTAACTTAGTACCTAGGATCTAGCTTAATATCAAGTGGTAAACACTGTTTACTGGTGGAGAGAATATAATGGTGCCACATAATATGATAATAATTGGCTGAAAAATCAAGATGTAAACAGTTAAAAAGTGATGATATTCCATAAGCAATAATTACGCGCAGCTGTTTGGCTAAGCAAGATAGACTTTATATATATACGTACTAAACTAAAGATAAGTAGACATACAAAATCCTACCATTCAATATTCTGGGTTAAGTCTTGGCGCATAGTTCAGCGTATATAGGATGGCAATTCTGCAATTAAAAAGTACTATTCAGATAATTTATATTTTAGTGGTATATTATACATGCGTAATGGTACATTATACATGCGTCATGGTACATTATAATGTATTACAAGAGAGTTAGTTTTTTTTCCAGAAGTTGAAACTCATAGGATGGTAAAAATTATCACTACACTCGTAATAGTCCACACACAGTACTATTCAAACAACTTATACTTTAGTGGTAAATTATGCATACATAATGGTACATAATGAAACATTATAATGTACCACTAGAGAGTCGACTTTTTCTAGAAGTAAAAATTGAATCATCTGGAATTACTTCCTTACCCTCCTATTTACATAGCTCGCCCATAGGCACTATGCGCCCAGAATCACTCAATATTTTGTAAGTTTGTCATCTTGCATATAGCTTTAAGATTTTCACACAATGTGGCCACACTATTTAGGGGGCGTTTGGTTCGCAAACAGGTATTGGGTTGGAATCAGGAATGAAACCATTGTGGTATAGGCTTGAAATTTTATTCTTAATGCCATATGTTTGGTATGTTTATGGAATGCAATTTGTTTTCTTTTATTTAATACCTAAAAGTATGGGAATGAGCCAAACCCACCTTCCCCCCAAGGTTTCTAAACCCTATATCTTGGGGGTTTGAGGTATGGGTTTGAAACTCTTAAAATCATAAAACAAACATAAGGTATGTATTTAAACCATTCTAAACCCATACCTTATACCTTAATTGTGTGAACTAAACGCCCCCTTATAAGGTTTTTTTTTTCTTTTTTTTCATATATGTGGAGATAACCCTATTTGCTTATTGGAAATAATACTATTATTACTTAATTAATTACCTTATATGTGAAGTGGTCATAGCCACATATATACATATATTTATAAATTACTATGGTTATTTGGCCGCTAAGTACACATGTTTTGAAATAATATGTGGAGTACTATTTAGGATGAGTGATTTTCCTCAATAATGTTGAAACAAAAACAAATTCTCATTATATACCCATTTAAAAATAAATTCCCAAAATACCGCCCATATAGGATTGGTATTTGGTTTGGCTTAAAACCGGTAATGTTCTTAACGGTTTTATGTTAAAACCGTACATAAAATCGGTAGAACCATTAGCCTTTTTTTTAGAAGAAGTTAAGAGACCCGTTATTACTGAAATCGGGTCTCTTTTAGCTTAACAGGCATGGTTTCAGAAAAGAGACCGCCTTTTTATTGACAGGTCTCTTTGCCTCCTTAGGCCCCATTCTTTAGAGCTGATATGCTCTGCTCTGCTCAAATCAAATCTGCTCTACTCTACTCAAAAGAAATCTGCTCTGCTCTATTTTCAAATAATAATTAATATTCAATAATAATAATTAATATTGTACTGATGATAATAATATATTATTTTGAATAATTATATAATTATTAATATTAAAAATAATTTTAATAATTATTAATATTAATAATAATAATTAATATTTATTAATCACAATAATAATTAATAATAATAGTTGTCATTATTAATATTTAATAATTCAAACTATTAAGAATTATTATTTAATAATATTATTAATTAATAATATCTAATAATTATAACAATTTTTTCAAATAAATAACTAATAATAATAACAATTAATAACAATTTATATTATAAACATTTGATATTAGAATCACAATGTGTGGAAACATTTTATGTATGTGGGTATTGATTGTTACTTCATTGATTTGAATTATTTTTTATATCTTTCAATACAATTTAAGAATAAAAAAAACAGTCTGCTTTCAAGTAGTACTTTGTATATGATTAAGACAAATTTATAAGTAAAATCACTATTACTCATTTAATCATTTTATTTTAAAATTTTTGTTAAATAAATATAAGTAAACTGTTGTCTTTTATCTTTCTACTATTAACATATGTTAAATATGGTATACATATATTTATGTTTTCACTCACCTAAATTAATGGTATATGCACTTAATAATAGTAATAGTAATAATAATGACAACAACATTAATAATAATAACATTAATAATAGTATAAATAATAATGGTAATAATAATAATATAATAACAACAACATTAATAATAATAACATTTATATATAATAGTTTTAATAATAATAATAATAATAATAGTAATAATAATAGTAATAATAATAATAATGACAAAAAAATTAATAATAATAACATTAATAATAATAATAACAACAACATTAATAATAATAAATTAATATATAATAATAATAATAATAATAAAAGTAATAATAATAATAATAATAATAATAATAAAAAAAAAATAATAACATTAATAATAGTATTAATAATAATGTTGAAATCTGCTCTGCTCGTCTCGGCTCTGCTCTGCTGAAATTTAATCTGCTCTGCCCTGCCCAGAAGCTCAAAAGAATAGGGCCTTACTCTTTAAAAAAGGTAAGGAGGAAAAGAGACCTGTTAATAGAAAAAGACGGTCTCTTTTCTGAAACCGCTTACAACAATAGCAGTTTTAAGCTGAACTAAATAAAAAAAATACTCAACACCGATCTTACATGGACGGTATCTAGGGAATTAGTTTCATTCTAAATCAACGCTCAAAGGGAATTTATTTTTAGTCTAGCAATATTGTGTGAAATTGCTGTATTTAGGATACATTAGTATTTTGCGTCTAACTCATTCAATATTCAATTTTCATTGAGTAATTAATTCAAAATTCTATTTAACAATTATTTAGGAACTTAGGTATACCTAAAAAATCTTTGTTTGGCTTGTTCCAAAAAAAAAAAAAAAAAAAACAAAACAAAACATTGTCAGGCTACGTTTATGTAGGATATCATGCACTAGTTGAAGGAGTAATTTTAGGAATATTAGTTTTATAATCTTTCCGCTAAGTTAGTGATTCATATATAGGATATCATGCAATAGTCGAAGGAGAAATTTTAGGAGTATTAGTTGTTAGTGGATTTGTTAGTGAGTGTTTATCTTCCTCGTTATTAACTTCTAGTCTGTTAATTGTTAAGGCTAGCTATTTATATTTTTATATGGCTCATGTAACACCCAAAAAAAAAAAAAAAAAAAAAAGTGGTTCATGCATTTCCTGAATCAGCAGGCAGTAAAGTATTTACTTCGTTTCATACGTGCTACAAGTTTTCTTCTAATGAAAATTTTAACGATAATTCCTTACTTTTTTTAGTTTCTCAATGCTGACTCACTGACTCATATATAGGGTCAACATTTAAACTAGTTATAGTGAATACGAGCCTGTTTATATTTACTGAACTGAGCTGAACTGAACTGAATGGAGCTGAATTGAACTGAACAGAACTGAAATGAATATTTTATAAGAAAGGAAATAATTGAAATGAAATTAAGTTTATGTGAACAAGGCTACAATAGCTATTGAATAGACTTCCCCTAATTACTACTAAATTACTTATTAAATGTGACATTAATATGTAAAAAAGGATAATTATTCAAAAGCTTACTAAAAAGATCTTAAAAACAAGGACGACAATGATTTAAAAGCATACTAAGAAAAACAATTATACAAAAATTTTAAGAAAAAATTGCAAGGTGCATTTGTAATTGATATAGAATTTCGTAGTCGTGCCCTTGATGTTGTTAATGTCTTTGGTGCGAGCAACGGGTCATTGAGGAGATCAATTGCCGCAGGTCTGTCGCAAGCTGTAGGAGCCAGACACTTTTTAATCAAATGACGAAATTGTAAATCTGTAACTTTGCTTAGAACTTCTGGCATAACACCCGACATTTTCTTTTTGTAAAGTTCATTCACATCACCGTGACATTCGTTATATGGAACTTCACCCGTAATCATGTGAAGAAAGCACATCCCAAAACTGTAAATGTCAACTAGCTGAATTGGTTGATATTGTTTTTCAAGGATCATCGCGACACCAAAATCTGCTATCATTACCCGGCCTGTATGCCCATTAATATAGACATGTCTCATATTCAGAGCGCCATGCACGATTGGAGGATTTTGAGAGTGAATATAATGTAACCCTTTAAGGATCTGTCTAGCAAAATCCTTAATTGCCTCGATATCGAAATGAACATGTTCTTCGAAGTAGTCTTCCAAACTTCCTGATGTATAAAGCTCAGTAATCATGTTAATTGTTTCCGTATCAATCCAATAATCATAGCACTTGATAATATTTTCATGATCTAATGACTTTAAAAGACTTGCTTCGGCCTTCAAACTCATAAGATAGTTTTTGTCCTTAAATATATCATCTGTTATCACTGTCTTACTCCAAGCAATTTCTATTCCTTCAATCTTATCAAGACCCTTGTATACTGTTTTTGTGGCCACCTTGTCTATGATCTCGTCATACCTTGCGAATCGTCCTGTTGGATCTCTTTCGATAACCTCAAGACATGTGACGTCGTCTGGCTGTATCAAACCTTTGATGGCCATGACTAACTAGCAGAATAAAGATTTTTTATTTTATTTAATTTTTTTTTAAGAATGGCTAGGTAATATTTGTGACGGAATTTTTATAGAATTCTGCACATTGAAAGGAGAGACAATGGATTTATTTAATTTTTTTATTTTTTTTTTTTTACATATTTATAGGTTAGCAGTTGGTTCTTGATTTTGTCATTATTTTTTTATTTTTTTTTACTTTTTTGTTATAGTTAGTCCTAGTCAAAAGGTTTGACAATTTCTTTTTTAAAAAAATTGTTGATTACATATTTAGTTATAATTATTTTGCCTTTTGATTTCTTAAAAAAAATAATTAAAATACAATCTCATTTGTTTAATTTGAGTGGCATACATTTATGTATAAAAATAAAATGGTTGTACACATGTGTACAATACAAGTGGATCGGATCGGAGTTTAATTGCTCTTTTTCAATCAATTATGTAACTTATTTTCCTAAAAAAAAAAAAAATGTAACTTATTTGGGTTACAGCTACAAGTTGCTCATTTTTTTTTTTTTCGTTCTTCAATGACAATTATGTATAGTTGGACATTTAATTTATATTGCCAGCAAACCCTCAGTATTAATCACAATATTAATTATTGTTCATACTTTTTTTTTTTTGGTGCAAAAGAGGGCTAAGCCCATTTATTCAAAAGAAGGAAAATTACATAATAAATCGTGGCATTGCTACGCCAATTGTGTCCTCCCTTAGAAGAGATGCTATTACAATCGGAGGAGTATCGAAATAGACAAGCCCTTCTTCAAGACGAACCCCTAAATTGGCTAGACTATCCGCCACTCTATTACATTCTCTAAAACAAAAAACAATACTAACATTACAACCAAGAAATCTAATTAAACTACGACAGCTTTTTAAAATGTGAACACATTCGCCACCCATGCGATCGGGGTCTTTAATTGCTTCAATACAAGCCTGATTATCCATTTGAAGAACTAGCTTTGAGATTCCCAGAATGCATGTCATCTTTAGTCCTATTTCAGCAACACATAGTTCAGCTTTGAACGCTGTACAGACTCCCAAGTTTGCAGCAAAACTTCTGACGTACTTCCCTGTACAATCTCTTATAATCCCACCCCCACCAGCATGGCCTGGGGCTCCCTTGGCTGCCCCATCAGTGTTTAAGGCAAACCATTCAGGAGGTGGAGCAAGCCATCTGATTAGCATTTCTTTTTTCTGGCCACGAGTATTGGCATTTAATTGCTTCGACTCATGTTCCCCAGACAAGACCTTCCAAGTTTCATCAACATTAGAGTGAAGAAAGGTACCAATATCAGCTGGAATTGCCTCTTTATTCCCGAACATAGCATTGTTCCTCCATTTCCATAGCCACCATATAGTTGTAGCAAATGTCGTGGTCCACATTTCAGAAAAAATCGGCCCTTCTGCTTCTAAATTTCTCACCAACCAAGCAGTCAAATCCCCAGTAAAAAAGGATTGATACTAAGCTGCTCCCCCTACATTGCTCCATACCTTCCTCGCAATTGGACAATCTCTTAGCAAATTATTGTTCATACTCAGTAGATGCTTTGTTATTTCTAAGATTCATGCTTATTTATACAACCAGTAGTTTATATAATCATTGTCTTCTACATGCTAGGTTTGATAGATGTTGCTCCTTTTCATTCTTTACGAACCTAATTCGAAGTATTACAAAGAAACAAATCAATTGCAACTTGGCAAACGTTGCTAAAACTAGCTATCTCAATTATGTTCTTTATTCCAAATCAAACACTGTATTCACACTCAATAAATCAAATAAAAAAATAAAATTCCCCACCCGTCGCTTCCTGGTAGGTTAAAGTGATTTTTTGTTATTACAAGAATAATTTTTTCAATTTGGCAAATTTAAATGGATGATGTCATTGTTATCATAGTTCTACAGTACTACTGTACTAGTATATTTTGGTTGTCTCTTTTCATAAAACTAATAAACTAAAACTGAAATAAGTTTTTAGGGGGTTAAAAAAATTAATAATCAGAGTGAGAAGTAACTCAAGTGGTTAAAGTTTCTCTCTCAATTTTAGGAGATTCTGGGATTAATTCTCATCATCCGTTTTTATGGCTTCTGAATACCATAAAAAAAAAATACTGAACAAGCCCTATTTTTTTCTATGCTATGTTATATTCACTTGTTGAGTATGCATATCTAATGATTAAAACTTATAACTAATAGATGTATTATTGGTTATTGCATACTATGGGTCTGTTCAATTCTGCTTAATTTTAGTTCAATTCAGTTCAACTCTAACTAGTTCAGTTCAGTTCAGTTTCTAATTTTCCTCTCTCATAAAATATTTATTTCAGCTCAATTCAGTTCAGTTCAATTTAGGCCCTGTTCTGTTCACCTTAAAAAATAATATTAAGTTAAAATAATTTCAGTTCAGTAAAAATAAGTCCAGTTCAGTAAAATTAATTTCAGTTCAGTAAACATAATTTCAGTTCTAAAAATTCTAGCGTAGTCGTCGACTACGGATGACTACAGACGACTATCTTCGACTATGCTAAGAGATTAAATCTACATCGTTGATATATTATTTGTCTAATCTTAGCCGTCGAATCTTACACCTATACTACACAGTCATCAAGGGATTATTTGGTTAATTTTTTTTGGTTTTTCACACATTTTTTTAATAAAAACTGATTTTTATTTATATATATTTTTTAAATTTTCATCTTCAACTTATATCATCTCTAACCTTTGTATGAATTAAATTGAACTTTATTTTCAATATATGTCATCTTCATCCTAAATCTTCATCTTCTACCAAAACATTCATACTTTATTGATCTATATTGTGGTTGATTTATTACTACGGATGTAAAAGTAATATTCATTAAGTTATAATATTATTTAAACATGGCCTGATTATCTTAGAAGTATAATAAATCGGGGAAAAAATTATCTTAAACCTTTATCATGACTCATCTCTATTATTAAGCTCCATTATTGTCAACATTGAACCTTCACCAAAATATCCTCTAAATTACCTAAATCTATGAAAAACTTGTAAAATTAAAGCAATGTCAATTTATCGCAATTATGCATGCTTTTTTAAAACTCAGAAAATCAAATTAGTCAATTCATTTGAATCACATCTCAAAGGATAATTAATTAATATGAATGTTACTTCTCAAAAAACCAATTCAAAATTCGTGTATCATATTCATGTATTATAATAGTATGGTCTAAATTGATGGAGTACTTGATAGTAGTTTTTTTAATCTTAATCACCATTCATCAAAATTTTGAAGCTCTAAATAAAACAGCCTGTGTATATATATATAGAATAAGAAATAGAATTAAACAAAAAACGGAAAAGAAAAATGAAAACACAGACTTGCTGTCAATTAGGCATAAATTGAGGAATTTTTAGTTATATTTTTGGATAAACTTTATCTTCATTATTTATCTTTAACTAAAGTACTTTGTTAGCTGTTACAATCTTACAATTATATTAACTAATGATAAATTAATAAAAAATATTATTCTATATATATATATATATATATATATATATATATATTATGAAATATAATACGGAGTTGTAGTAGTTAAGGCCAATTAGTGACCAAGTTTGTTAGAAAGGGTGGAAGAAAGGGAAAGATAGTGCCATAACTGAAGCAACTAATTTTGTACAGTACGTTATAATTAGATTTTTTTTTTTCATTTTAACAAACTAGAGATAGTTTCTTAGAAAGAAAAGAGAAAAAAAAAAAAGTAGAAGTGAAATTTTGATTTTTTTTTTTTTTTTTAATTTCTATTTGGAGAAAAGATGTTATTTGGATGTTATTGCTAACAAAAAAGACCAAAAAAATAAATAAATAAAATAAAATAAAAAAGGAGTGCACAACATTGTAGGATTGGAGTTTTGTACAAATTTGGTGAGAAGTTAGAAAAACAACTCTTAAAATTATATAAAAGATTAGTGTATCTAATAGCATATAATTTTTTTTTTTGGTGAAATAGCATATAAATTGATATACTTCATATATTCTTGTACGTAATAATTAATATGTCACACTTTTCATTTGAATAATCATATATTGGTTTGACTAATTTCTCATATATCAAATATAAATACATGAATTGTAGAACTAACCTAATTTTTTTAAAATAAATATCTTAAACGTTAAATTAGTTTAGGGCCTGTTCACATTTACTGAACTGAGCTGAACTAAACTAAACTGAACTGATTAGAGCTGAACTGAACTGAACTGATTGGAGCTGAACTGAACTGAACTAAGCTGAAATGAATATTTTATGAGAGAGGGAATTAAGTAAATGTGAACATGCCCTTAGTGCGAATTTCCTTTTATTTATCTAATGTTGGTTAATAAACTATATTTATCTTATTTTAGTTGATTAAAAAAAATCAAATTATTGGGTAAGTAAAGCAGACAAGATCAAGACCTTTTTTATTTATATATTTTCCTAGTTATGTTTATCATGTTGTGATATTATTAGACTTCATATTATTAATATTAGGCAAATATAATAGGATAATAAAAGATTCTTTTGTATTTCTAAAAAAAAAAAAAATTCATGTATGATTTTTTTTGTTCTCTTTGCTAAGATTCACACACTACACTTTCTCAAAAAATAAATAAATAAATATAAATAAAAAACCACACACTACCTTAATAGGTTTTTTTTTATATGAATATATTATAGGATTTTTTTGTGAAAAACTACCTTTTAAACTCCAAATTTTGCGAAAAACTACCCTAAAAACAAAATGTTGTAATTAACTACCTTATAAAATATAAAACGTTGTAATTGACTACCTTCTAACAGAATGACATATTTGACTTTTATTTTCCGACGTTGACCATTTCACGTGAGGGTCAAGTGCCCCTTTAATGATTTAATTCCCATCTTTTTCCCAAATTTTCCCGCTTTACACCAATTTAGCCCATATAATTATCAAAGGGGTTGGTATAAAGCGGGAAAAAATTGGAAGAAAGGGGGGAATTAAGTCATTAAAGGGTCATGTGACCCTCACATGACATGGTTAACACCGAAAAATAAAAATCAAATGTGTTATTCCGGTGGGAGGTAGTCAATTACAACATTTTATACTTTATAAGGTGGTTAATTACAACATTTGATTTGAATCGAAGGACTATATACTTGGTAGTATTTAATAAAGAACACAACTAGGTAATAATAAAGAACACAACTAGGTGGTCCCAAATTGAACTGTTATAGTCCAAAAATACAAGACTAAAGATATGTTTGCTTTGAATCCAAGGACTATTATCGAAATTCATACAAGTAAGAATCCTAGCAATTTTGTCTGATAATCTTATTGTTTGCAACGAATTAACCTTACGTAGAACAAAACTCACACCCCTAGATCATACATAAATTTTGCTTTTAATTAGGTGTCCCCAATTTAATTTTGGGTGTACCTAAAATTCGAATCTTATTAGTCAATTAAGACAATCAAAAGATAAGACATGGTTAAAATATATACTTGAATGTACATTGTATCGAACAATAATTAACACAACTAGGCGGTCCCAAACGAAAAATGGTTAGTCCCAAAATACGCTAAAAGTTAGTTTGCTTTTAATCGAAGGATGATTATCAAAATTCATACAGATAAAAATCCTAGCAAATTCAATTAGTAGTCCTATAGCTCCCGGCACAGGATTACTCTCGCATAGAAAAAAACTCTCAACCCCTACAGAGCATACATTCATAAAATTCACTTTTAGATATACCCAATTTAATTTTGGGCGTACTCAAAAGTTGATTTTTATATGTTAATCAGAAGGATTGACTAAGACAAGACTTGATTAAAACATAGATTACAGTGTATATATAAAAAGTTTCCCAATTTGGGTATATCTAATTTATATTTGGGCATACCTAAAACAAAGTGGTTGAATTTTTATTTTTTTTTTTAATTTTTTTTTACAAAATACAAATGTATAAGTTATTTTGGATAATCACATCCGTCTTTAGCGGTCTCGAGTTCAAGTCTTGCTTAAAGCATTTATAGTTGTCAAATTTAATACATGCTGTGGAGTTAGCATAACATCGATCTTAGTGTTTAAAGGTGTGACATGTGTCATATATTGATGACATGTCTTGTTTATTGTGCTTAAAAAATTGATACATGAGTACATTATGACACATATTCTATTTTAAGAACGATTTTTTATATATATAAATAATAAAGTATAGATTAAAATTAATATATTATACAATGTTAATGTGCACTACAAGAAAATTACCTTTTTGTGGTGATTATTATTATTTTAACATTTCATATTGAAAGTAATTGCTACTAAAGAAACCCCTCGAATGGTTATTATGTACAATATCTGTCGGTACCATAGCCTTTAGGGCCTGTTCACATTTACTGAAATGAGTTGAGCTGAGCTAAGCTGGATTGAACTAAACTGATTGGAGCTTAACTGAACTAATTGGAGCTGAACTGAAATGAATATTTTATCAGAGAAGGAAATTAGGAGCTGAACTGAACTGAACTAAACTAAATTGATTAGAGCTGAACTGAATTTACCACGTGGCCTGCTGCAATTCAGTAAAATAACGGATTCTGACGCGCACATAACGGGGTTACTGTTCACGTGCATAACGGGGTTACTGGTTTTGTCAGGGTTACTTGTATTTTTCAGGGGTTACTTGTATTTTTTTTTCAAGAGTTACTTGTAATTTTTTTTTTCAGGGGTTACTTGTATTTTTTTTTTCAGGTGTTACTTGTATTTTTTTTTCAGAAGTTACTTGTATTTTTTTTTCAGGGGTTACTTGTATTTTTTTTTTCAGGAGTTGTATTTTTTTTCAGGAGTTAATTGTATGGATTAGTTATTCAAGGGTTACTTGTATTTTTTTTTTCAGTTACTTATATTTTTTTTTTCAAGGGTACTTTTTTTTAGGGGTTACTTGTATGGGTTAATTAAAGGGTTACTTGTATGAGTTACTTATTCAAGAGTTACTTATATGAGTTACTTCAAATGTTACTTGTATGAATTACTTATTCAATGGTTACTTATTACTTAATCAAGGGTTGGTTGTAGGTTGGTTTAAAAAAAAAAGGTTGCTTGTAGGCCCATACCAAACCAGTAACACCCTACAAGTAACCCCTGACCAAAATCAGTAACACCCTACAAGTAACCCCCGACCAAAACTAGTAACACCCTACAAGTAATCTAACCCCTGACCAAAACCAGTAACACCCTACAAGTAACCCCTAATCAAAATCAGTAACACCCTACAAGTAACCCCTGACCAAACCAGTAACACCCTACAAGTAACCTAACCCCTGACCAAAACCAGTAACACCCTACAAGTAACCCCTGACCAAACCAGTAACACCTTACATGTAACCCCTGACCAAACCAGTAACACCCTACAAGTAACCCCTGAGAAACTAGTAACACACTACAATTTTTGACGTAGAATGTTCGATTTGAGATTCTATGAAGAAAAGGAGCTCAAATTTCATTGGTTCTCATCGATTTCACTACTTCAAATGTTGTTCATGATCTTAAGGATAATTAATCACAATTTTTCACAATAATTTGACACCTAATTTCTACAATTTCGGGCTTTAATTGTAGCAATTTGGCAAAGAGGAGAGAGAAAATGGGTAGAGAAGAGATATGGTTGTTGTTGATGTGTGGTTTGGCTTAAAGAAGAAGCTAAGAAAAAAGGAGAGAGAAAATGGGTGGAGTAGAGATATGGTTGTTGGTGATGTATGATTTGGCCTGGAGAAGAAGCTAAGAAAAAAATGAGAGAGAAGAGTTGTGGTATTTTAAAAATAATAAAAGATAAAAATTGTGGCTGGCCACACCATGTGGCCAGCCACATACAAAAATTTGTGTAGAATTTTAGATTAAAATACTAGTACATTGTATAATTATAATGAGGCAAAAGCTTGTATTTATTCATCATATGCGTCAGCTTAAATATAATACAAGTACAATCCTAGGCAATCCACTGTATAAAAATTTTACAATGTCATTCTTTAAAAATGGCACCACAACTTGCTGATTTGGCAAAATCTGATTGGTCTATATTTTGTATTTTTATTTTCATTTTGAATTATTTTTAATGTCTACAATGTATTAAAATTGTATTTTTGTATTTTTTCATACATGTATTTTTGTTAGAAATACATAATTATAAATTATGAAAATCTAGCATTATAATTAAAATTAATTTTCGAATTTATAATTATAATTAGAATCATAAAATTAAATTCTCATCTATGTCAAAATTGTTCATCATCGTTCATCGTTCATCATCCATCATTCATCATTGTTCATCCATCATTTCATAAATTATGAAAATCTTTTTTATGATATTAATAAAGTTTCGAAAATATACTTATAATAAAAAATCAGGATCATGGATATGCTGCCGGAGAAGAAGAATGATTGTCGGAAACATTGCCTGAAAACCGCCAGAAAACTAACCATATCTGATTAGGGGATTTTTATCCACCAATCACCGTCTGACAAGTGGACCAACCAGGTTCCGCCACGTGTCCTTCACGTAGGCCAATAGGAGCCTGCCACGTGTCAATCACAGATACGTCCTCTACGGACCAATTGAGACACGCCACGTGTCCACCCATGCCAACTGGGAAAACCGGCCAACAAGGCCCAATCCTGTTTAGAGGCCCGGTCAGCCCTAGGTTTACCCTAAACCTAGAGAGTGGCACGCTTCTCAAGACTATAAATACTTAATTAATCCTCATTAAAGGGGATTAAGCAATTAATGACTCTCACCTAGAGAAGTCTAAACACATTGATCACTCCTCCCCTAGAGGAACCAGATCTTCCCCCTTTAATTTCCGCACTTATTACTCCTTAATCAAGTACTAACTTGACCGTTGGAGGCGGAGCTCCCAGGAGTCTCCGTTATTTTGCAGGTACAGGCGTCCGGTTCCAGTCTCGGAATTGTAACTCTCCCGCAGGACATCAGAAAACCCCGAAACATTTGGCGCCGTCTGTGGGGAGAGTACTTCAGAGATGGCATCCAAGTCTGTACCGACTCCTGAAGAGAGGCGTCCCGTAGACAACCCTCAAGTTCAGTCGGACCATGACACCGAAAGTGAATTTGAAGTTGAAACTCATACAGCTTCAGACGGGACCCTAAGGGCCCGACGTACCCGTCATACCGAAAGGAGGGAACGGGAGCATCTTCAAACAGGAAGCGAGCCGGCAGGCGCACCGCCTGTTCGGCAACAGCCGACTGATGGGTCTGCTCCCATCACAAGGAACGAACTCATAACCTTCATGAGGGACTTCAAGGGAGAGATTCAAGAGTTGATCAACAAGAAGCCGCCTGCTTCAGTCAAGGAGCAGTCGGCCAAGAAACCCTCCACTTCACTGAAGAGGAAGCCAGTTCAAGGGCGAGAGGCGACTCCTCATCCTAAATCTAGGAAGCGGGAACCACCTGCCCTTGATTTCACAAAATTCCGTTATCCTACAGGAAATAGGAAACCGGTTCGTCATATTCAGGCGGACGGGTCAAAGCAAACATTCACAGATGCTCGGCTACTGCTAGAGCAGAAGAAGAGTGACCGATTGTCAGATTCGGCTTCTACTTCAAACTTTCAAGACAGTTTGCGAAATGCCTCGATAAGGCATACTCAGTCGTACCATGAGAGTCAGTCAGGCGGCACCTCCCGTCAGTCCGGCTTTCATAGTGCCCAGGCGGTACCAAACTTACCATTTGTGCCGCAACAACAGTATTTTATGCAGCCACCTCCATTTGGTGGACCTACAGCAAAAAACGTCCAACCTATGGACTGGCAGCTACGGTTGCTTAGACTTGGTGAACAGCCGTCGGCCTTCTCCAAGGAAATCACTGAAGCAGCTCAGCCAGCCAAAGTGAAAAATGTACTAGTAGGCGCCTATGACGGCACTACTAACCCAGAAGACCATCTGATGGCATTCACCAACCTGATGTACCTTCAAGGGTTGGATGATCCCACTTGGTGCAAGTGTTTCCCAGCGACTCTCAAAGGAATCGCACAGCAATGGTTCGGCAACCTGCCGACTGGTTGTGTAAATAGCTTCAGGACGCTTGCCTACTTATTTGCCTCCAACTTCGCCATGAACATCCCTGCGAAGAAAACGACCCTTGATTTGGGAACAATTCAGCAGGGCGAGAAGGAGGGGCTTCGTTCTTACATCAGGCGGTTTAACCTGATGAGAATACAGATTCAAGGGTTACCAGATGAGGTAGCTTATACCGACTTTTTTAGAGGTCTCAAAGACGGGTCTACCTTCAAATTTGATTTGGTTCGAAAAAGGGTGGCGACTCTTCAAGAGGCCTTGATTGAAGCAGAAGCCTATATACAGGCGACTGATCTGTGTACGATAAAACAGTCGGACGGGAAAAGGTTCGACAAAAGAGAAGGACGACAGAAACAGTCGTCAAACAAAGATGAGAAAAGAAAAGAGGTCTGGGCGGCTGATTCCTCTAAACAGCCGGCCCAGAAAAAGAAAAAAGAATTCAAACCATACTCCCCAACGTATGCGTTTAACAAGGATAACCAGTTTATCCTAAAAGAAATCAAGGGACGGATCTCAATTGAGAAGCCGGTCCCCATGAAGGGTTCTGCAAACAACCGGAACCAAGATAAAATCTGTGCTTATCATGATGACGTTGGTCATCACACCAATGACTGCATCAGTCTTATGCGGTACCTAGACCGCCTGGCTGAGCAAGGTGATCTTGACACTTATGTCAAGAAATCTACGGGGAACACTTCCTCAAAAAAGCTGTCGGCCAAAAAGAATCAACAGGCCGACAGCTCCGATACAGATGATGCAGTCGTCTACACCATTGCAGGCGGCTTCTCAGGAGGCGGCCCCACTATTAGGGGCAACAAAGATAATATAAGGCGGTTAGATGTAAATTCCGTTCACCAAGAACGGCCGTCCAAATATACATTTCCTGAGATTGTCATCACTGAAGAGGATCTAGGAGGGGTAAGGGGGCCGCATGACGACCCTCTCGTTATTGAATGTAAAGTGGCCAACCAGAGAGTTGGCCGAATCCTCATAGATACCGGGAGCTCCTCAGATCTCATCAGCAGCAAATGTCTGTCGAAACTGAAATATCAGACTGACTGCATACATCCGGCCTCCCACCCTTTAATAGGGTTTGGAGGAGGAGTCGTCCACCCACTGGGACGAGTAGATTTACCCATTTGCCTGGGCGAAAAAGGGCAAGGACGACACATGGTAGACCGGTTCCTAGTAGTAGAGGAACTCTCGGCCTACAACATGATTCTGGGTCGACCAACCCTAAATAATTCCAAGGCTGTTATAATCCCGTCTCTTATGTTGCTCAAGTTTGAGAGGGATAATGGAACAGTCGGCTCCCTAAGGGGAGATCAGAGGATGGCCCGAGAGTGCTATCTCTCGGATGTCAAGCCCACTGTTATGGCCACTGGGTCAAGTGGAGAAAAAACAGACCTTGACAATGTCAAGGAGAGTGCGCCTGTTCAAGAAGCAGGCGGCAAAAAGAGAAAGGCGTCCCAGACAGAGTCCGCAAGAAAAGCAAGAAAATAGCAATCATTGGCAGAGGAGCGGCCGGATGAGTTCCGCCCTCAGCCGGCTGGTGAGCATGCGGACCTGATCTTAGACGACTCACGTCCTGACCGAACAGTCAAAGTTGGGACGACTGCTCTGAGAAACCTTGGTGACGACTTTCACAACCTATTGAAAGAATACAAGGACATCTTTGCATTTGAAGTCCATGAAATGCCAGGCATTAGTCCTGATCTGGCGATACATAAACTCGCCGTGGATCCGAAAAAGAAGCCGGTACGGCAAAAGAAGCGGAACCATGGCGAAGAAAGAAGTCAGGCGGCAGCCGCCGAAGTTAAAAAATTACTTGATGCAGGGTTCATTCGGCAATGTTACTTCCCAGACTGGGTTGCAAATGTAGTGCTTGTTAAAAAGCCGAATGGCACCTGGCGAATGTGTGTAGACTACACAGACTTAAACAAGGCGTGCCCCAAAGACAGTTACCCTCTGCCTAAAATTGATAACCCGGTCGACT